GAAATCCAAAACAGGGTACAGTAAAGTGAGACTAATACAATTTTAGAAGGATTCCAATTTCCATTCCAACATCATTAAAAAAAAAAATGTTCTAATAGAAAAGGAGTAGAACTTGAAGAGAATTGAAATCAATAGAAACATTCACGGCCAATTTAGACACAAGTAGAGATTATTATTTTTTTTAAAATTTCCAAGTTCCAATATAGTAACCAATATAGTAACCAGTTAGAGAGAAACAAGAGGTCTTCAAATAACTGGAGGAGGTGAAATACTAATCTTGTAAAAGCATCAACAACTTAAAGAAGCAGATAACGAAAATGAGAAAGAAGCTGAAGCCATGAAAATACCTCTGTGCTGCTCGCAAGGTCAACGGTACTTGGAAGGAAAAGAATAGGGAGCAAAAGAAGCTCTTGTTATTTTATGGCTGTGGCAACTGAAACGAGTTGATTGACAGTAAACTATAGAACCAATCATTGTCAAATGCTTCTCATTTTTGTCTTTTTGTCTTTGCAACCGTCAGAAAAAATTTATTATCATGTTTCTGCACTTCTTTGCAAACGTAAGAAAATTAAATACATGAATACTCCTATATATCGTGTGGAATCTATTCCCGCTACTCACATATAATGAGATCTATTTGAATCTCACGCGTGGGAAAGATTCTCATTTTCTTTCATGTATGTATGTGTGTGACAGCAAAGAGAGAGAAGAGTTGTCCAAACCGCTTTGACCTCTGCCCGGCGGCCATCAAGAAGGCCTCGACGCGGCGGTGGAAGAGGGATCTTTTTATTTTTTAGCTAAAGTTGTGAAAGTGACTTTTTAACTAGAAATATCATGGTGACTTGTCTTTTTTTTTTTTCTTGTTCGTCTGCCAACCTAAAATAATCTATGTGAAGAACAGACAACTAGGTATGTATATCAAATAAAAAAACATTAAAAAAATAGAGATAAGGACCATTTAACATCTAGCGACATGTTTGACTCCTATGTTTCCCATGCAAAATAAATAAATAAATAAATAAAAATAATGAAAAAGAGCCTACTTACATTAAAACAATGCTATAAAGTATTGATGATGTGAAGTATCACAACCTATAAAATGTGAGTCTCGCAACGTAGGATTCAATTATCAGACCCGTCTTCGTGCTCTTAAATATTTTTTCATACGACTTTTTTTGGGAGAAATTTACGCCACAGGTTCACTGACTTTTTCACTGTGTCGACGCTCGGATGTCTCTTTATTATGTTATATCCTTCTAGTTTTTAACCAATGGGTTCTTTGGGAAAATCGTAGGGATTTACAATATTACGGTCCCGTTCATTTTATCGATTCGAGTTTTGCTACAGTATAAATGTAACACCTTGAGAAATTAAACGAGATTAATTAAGACAATTAAGATTTATTAGTGTGCTTAATCAGGTTTAATTAAATAATTATTGTTTAATGAATGTTTCTGATGTGAAAATTTAAATATTTCTAAGGAATTTAAATGTTTCCAGTCTTGAATGGATTTTTTTGCTTCAGCGCAATGACCATCGGTAAAGACCCGATGAGGGACAAAATAACAGCGTGCAATGGTATTACCACACCAGGTTGTGTAAGATCTCTGCAGGATTATAAAATGATGACTAATTCAATACAAGAGGCGTTAGAAGTTAAATAAATTTGCTGAAAAAAAAAACATAAGTTTTCTAAACAAATTAAATACTAATACCAACATTGCCATCAACTGAGATTCTTTGTTTTACGGCTTTCACTTTGTTTATAATGGAAGAGTAATTGTCGCCACACAGGAATATCACCACCCAAATCTCACTGTTACATCAGAAAGAGAGAGAGATCATTAAGTATAGTAGCAGTTAGGGACTGTCTATGGAAATTATTTTTTATTTTTTATATTGTTTTAGTTTCTAAAATTTACATGTTTCCACTTTTGATCCACAATTTTTACAGATTATGTCAAATATTTAACACCTAGTAAACAGAAGTACTAGAATTGAAATGAAATGAAGCATTTGGGACAAATTGTTGAACGTTTAAAAGTAAAGGACTAAAGTGTGATTGAGGGTAAACTTCGGGTACTATTTGTGGTATTAACCCTTTTTTTTATAATAGGCAAAATTCTAGTTATTAGAATGACATATCAAAAAATAAGGTTATTTACTATAATTATTAACGTGTATGATACTCAAAATAGTTATATTACTAGGAGTCATCAACAAAAAGTTCATAATTAATTAGCCAAGACCCAAAAACATATCAATCAAACCTTAGAGCATCGCCAATAATTCCCAAATCAAGATTTAAGCAAAACCAATTACTAAACCGCAAAGACATTGGCGGATATGAACCAATCAAGATTTAGTACTTTTTGTTTGTTGATTATTTTTTATTTTGTTGAATTGATGTGATTGAACATGGAAATTCGAAGTGTCTGCTGCTAGGTATAAGGTTGCTGCCGACAAACATAAAAGATTTCGTACTTTTGAAGTGGAGACCTTGTGATGATCTTCGCAAAGAACGACTTCCAGCAGGGGAAATACCACAGGCTCAAACAAAAGAAGATCATCCTTCAGAAGATCAATGATAATGCCTAAATTATCGATCTACCAGATACTTATTCAATTTCAAAGACATTCAATGTCCAAGGACCAAAACTTGTATGCTTATCATGGAACAAAACAAATTCTTTGACCAACTTGAGGACAAGTTTTCTCTAAGAATGGGGGAACTGATACAGCAAAGGTCCTAACTAACAACTCAGTCCCAACTAACATATGGATTCCAACTCACATATGGATTCCAACTCACCCATTACTCGTCCATCACATACAACCTGGCTATGTTTGTGTTGTTTTTCCAGCCAACAAACCATATTCCAGTCTTCGTTGGATTTCAACTTGATTGTCATCTTTAGTATTGTTTAATTGTGACGACCCTAACTTTTGATCGTCATCATATACTCATATTTAGCATTTCTTAACCTCTATGACGACCCTAATTATAACTTCTTAAAATTTCAGGCCATTTTTTTTCATTCTTACCATGTACGTCTAAATGCTGCTACAGCTAGCCTTCTGTTTTCAACTATTCGTAAAATGCTGTAGCATTTTGACAACATTTTATTACACTAGTCATCAAATACATAAAACACTATTTTATTTTACATATAAAGTTCAGCAACGTTTCCAAAACACATGATGCGTCCACAACCCACTTGCCCACATTCCGCTGCTACACCCTCTCTGCATGCCCAGCATCAAGTTTTAGGGAGCTGGTGCCTTACCCATGCTTCCTATAACACGAACAAACTTAATGAGCTTTTGCTCAGCAAGTATCAATAGGTCATAACGGATGCAATAATTATGCATACCCATAAATGCATTCATATCATATAACCTAGTACAAAATTCTAAACGACTTTCATTCTGTATTTCTCATTCTTTTCATTCTTGTTTACGGATACCATAGCGTTATATGGAATGGTTTCCGTGTTTCATTTTCTTGTCTTTTACTTCTTAGGGGCCCTATCCTGTTGTACCATAGCGCGCATAACCAGTGAGGAGTGGGGTAGCTAACCAATCCAACTCAGTCACGGTTTCATATCTTTCGTAGTCTCATAATAACCTTTCCTTCGAAGGCTGGTACAAATAGGACGTTTAGTCTCTTACCGTTTATCAATTTTCTCATTGAAACAGTAACTTTAGTTAAATCTTATAAATTTGTGCATTATTGAGCATCTTATCATGAGATTAACTTTTTGTTAAACTTTAACATTTCACTTTTCTTAGTTTGATCTCGACCTAACATCGATACATACTTTTGCAGAATAAAGTTCTACGATTACATAAGTCTTGTAGATACTTACCTAACATAGTATCTAGCATTCACATTGTATCTATCATTCAAAATTCTACTATATGCACAATCTTTGTGCAACATAGAAAAGCAAGTTTGTTCGTGACATAGCCATAGAAAAACTATTGTACTTACCAAAGTTTCGCTAACAACGCGTCCTTTGTCTCCCTTGACGCTTTCCAACTTCAACCGTTAGTCGGCCCTATTGCATAAATTTTTCGATCGTTAGATTCAGAATCTAAGATCAACAATTACATTGAAATTTACTTCAGAAAAGTCTACAATCCTTATGTTTGGTATTCAACCTCAAATCATTTCCTATCTCAAGGATTTGCACTAAAATCGTGCAAATTACTCAGTCATGGGCCTAATTTTCAATTTTGGTCCAAAACTGTGAATTCTCGTTGTGTTCGGTTTCTAACTATCACCGATTATCGAAACATCTTTCTTTTCACACTTTAATCCCATATTCCTCTTGAAATCCAGTTTTAGTTCAAATTACTCGAACTAAATTTTGGCAGAGTTTCGCCTTATTTTTCTCATTTCCCGAGTTTTTAATAACTCGTTTTACTTCTGATTTCGGTACCTGGAGTCAAGATTCGCATTCCTGAACACAGATTCCAACATAAAATTGAACAAAAACATATGTTCTATCTTAATCTAGGCTCACGAATTTTCAATGGAAATCCATCAAAACTTCATTCAATTGTTTGTGTTGTTTTTCCTAGTTTAGTCTTGTATTCTTATTATAAATAGGTGATGTATTAAGGAAACAATCAATCGATGAATAAACTTTTAAAACCAAAAATCATTTTGTGTAAAAATTCTCTGAGAATTGCATGCCTATTCTCCTCTCAAATCCTTTGAGATGTAAGTTAGGACGCACCTAGCAACCTGCTGCGTCCGTTAAACGATAACATTCCACAATTTAAGTAATTAGTATACTTAGGGGAGTTATATAAAATACCATACATTAAAATAGCATAATCCTAACAAGTCCGTCGTAGAGAACAAATTAACAAGAGATAATAGTTCAAAAGAACAATGAAAAGATAAGAAATAAAAAGAAAAAATAATACTATATAGTCACCACTATGAATGACAATGTAGACATATATGATGATCATAATGATTTGTCAGCTCACTCGTCCGTTCTGCCATAGCAAATGGAGGTAACATACAACCCTTTCTGACGTTTCTCCTCGATATATTTAGTTGGAAAATCAACGCCGCGAATTGTCTCCTGTTCTCTTTGTTTGGTCATTGACATGCTAAGAACAACAGCAGCCTGGTCCACAGTCGCCGCTGTTGCAGTGATTTCATAACCATTTTTCCACCTTCTACGAATACCATCACTCGGGTACTTCGATTCTAGTTCGACAAACTGTTCGGAGATGCCTGCGCCAAGAGACATAATAATTGCCCACCTTCTTCCCGAAGTGGCCATGACAGTAACATAATATCCCATTTTCCATTTGTTTTTCATCCACTGTAAAGGAAATGAATCACTCACTTTGTACAATTGTTCTAAATACTGGACCCCTTTGGACATTACAACTAATGAACTTCCATTGCCGGCTCCGGCTATTGCGCTGATATGAAAACCCTTCTCCCATTGTTCTTTGATCCATTCATTAGGGAGAAAATGTGGAGAGAGATGATAAACTTGTTCCGAGAAACCAGTACCGGAATCCATGATCAAAGCCCAAAGATTGGAACAAGAAGCAACACTACTTATAAATAACCCGTCTTCTTTTCCTTTCTCAATCTTTTGGGCGAGCATCGAGTCTTCAACGTCGAATTCATATATTTGCTTCATTTCTTGAGGGCCACTATAAACACTAATCCATTTTGTTGCAGGAGATCCTAAAGAAATCTTCCTTTGAAGTTGCGCGTCGATATTTTCCTCCTCCGTGGTCAACCGTTCCCTCTCTTGTGCATCTACAGACGTCACCTTTGTGACAGATAGTAGGGTATCAGATGTAGGACTCAAATCGCCTGTTCAATTTTAGTGTCTACAATAGTGTCTTTTATAATATTTTAATGTTTTGAGTTCATTCAATGACATGACAACATGTGATTGGTTAGTTAGACACTATTTGAGACACCATTTAGACATAATTTGAATTCTTAGATGTACTAATGGAGACTAATGTTTAGGTTAAATCTTTTAAATGGTTCCTTTATTTTACTTTAAATGTCACTTTACTCCCTAACTTTCAAAATGTCCCAAACTTAATCTCGAATTTATGATCAGTTTGTTTCAATTTGTCTTTTTCCTCCTTTTGGAGATAAAAATAGAACAAAATATTAATAATATTCAATTAACAGAGCGTTATTTTCTACTCTACCTCAGAGTCACGAGCATATTCCTTATCCTATTAGTAAACTAATTTTTTTTTCAGCATATCGTGTATATTCAATCTTTATTTTTTTTTTTTTTTTTTTTTTTACACTTAACTAATGAAAATGACATAATGAAACAAACTGAAAGATTAAAGAACTAAAAGTGAGATTAAAGATAAAGTTTAGAAACTATTTGTGAGATTGGTCCTAATATTTATTGAAAATGAATATAGATATATCATTAATAAATATAGCACAATGTATCTACATTATATTCATATATGTAAAAAAGAATATATCCGAGTCCTAAAAGAGAAAGAAGCAATATGTACAGTGCAGGATACATACATACATACATACATACATACGTGGGTATATATATATACAAATAGATACACTTTTATAAACGATACAGTACAAACAAAAACAAGTTGTATTCAGTAGAATGAAAAACAAGTGTTCTCCAACTGGCAATTTTGAGCAACTTAAAAGAAACCAGAAATAAGAAAATGAGAAACAAGTGCACACAAACAAGGAGGGCGGGCCACTAGACACAAGTTTGATGCAAAAGAGATGAGAAAGTGCATGTAAAATCAGTACTGTGGATGTAAGCATATTTACCTGAATCGCGACATGATTCCGAGATTGATCGTCTTCCTGCGCCAGTTTAGGACGCCGACTTATAGATATCTTTTTATAAGTAATTGTGACAACCAAAAGCACCCACAAAACCAAACAGACCCACCCCAAACCTGGAACCATGACGAGAATCAGCAATACGGAAGCAAGCAACCCTGATAAGAGGCTCACTTTTGTCGACACCTCTTCGGCGATACCGTTGCACTTGATGCTCGCTAGTCCAGTCATGACATAGATACAGATAGCAATCAGAAAGGCCACCATGGTCGCATAGTCTGTCTTGAATGGAGATTGTTGCTTCAGTTGAAGAAACGCAACTGAAACGCCAATGAGGGCCATAACACAGGTGTGCAATGTCTTCACAACATTAGCTCGTGTCCTGAAGATCCAATATCAGTCTTAGTTAGATCACAAAATGATCAATATACAAGAGTCTTAGAATTTAGGTTGTGTTTGGTTAGGGAGAATGGAAATGAATGGAAAGGAATGAAACTTCATTCTTATGTTATTACGTTTTGTTGTTTTAAGAAAATGAATGATCATTTAAGATGGAATGACTTTTAATCAAATACGTGAATCATTATTTCTTCTTCACATGGGATGAATTGTGATTCCAAAGCTCTTTTCATTTTCTTTTTGCTCTTGAATATTACAGTCATATTGATAATTACGATATTATTAATATATTATTGTTAATAGATTATAATATTAATTCATTGTAATTATATCTTATATTATAATAATATTTGATAATATTAATATATATATACATACATATTAGATAGTTATAATATAATATCATTATACTAATATAATATAGAATGATATAGTGTAATATAGTTGTACATAATTATAATACTAATAATATCAAATATTATATTATAATATGATATGATTAATATAATATGATAAAGTTGTAATATTGTAATTAATAATATTATAATCATTTATAATTATAATATTAGTATTATTTTAAATACATAATATATAATAATTATATCATATCATATAATATATTACATAATTATTGATATAATTACAATATTAATTAATTATAATTAGGCATTGTAATATAATATAAATGCAATATTAATATAGTATGTTAATTTTAATTAGATGGTAATATAATATAATATAGTGGTAATATTGCGATTAATAAAATTACAATTATACTAATAGTTGCAATATTATTATTATGTTAAGTTATATTATAATATAATAATAATATAATCGTATTTGTAAAACTACAACTAAACAAATGAATAAGTTTTATTTTTCATTATAATTCATTATCATTACCTTTTTTTATTCTTCCACTGTAACGAAATACACCCTTATTAAAGCATTACTAGTAGTTTCTACTATTTCAACCTTTGGATTAATTTTTCAATATTCTGAACTATGAAAGCGAGTAGTTATGTGTTGCGCGCTACAAACTTTAAATATTTACCTCATAGATCAAACCTTTAAAAATTTAATTCGATGACTATATATAATTAACAACATTCCTATCATAGAAATTCTCTGGGGGTTAAATGATAAAACAATAATAAGAATAATAACAACCATTTAAAATTTTCTGAACAAGTTAAACTCAAATACCAACCTGGCCATTATGTGAGAGTCTTTGTTTTGCAGATTAATATCACCAACCAGCTGTTACATGGATAAAACCCTAAAAGTCATTTGAACCAATGTCTCAAACATATAAGGCCACAAGTACCACTATTATATGTGACATAGGTATCTCTAAAAATCAGCTCAAACTTGCAATGATCATATAAGACTACATTTATCTCTAAAAATTCCCGAGACGTGTGTTGACACTATAATGAGAAATGAGGTATGAAATCTGAGCTCAACTACGATCAAGTTTTTTCCGACCGCAATAGTTTTTTAGAGAATTTGGTCGCCATAGCTTTTATGAAGACCAAAAGTTAGCAAATTTGGTTGCAAATTTCTTTTGCCACCCGTATTGTTTGGTCCTAAAAAATTAATAGATTTTTCCCAAACTATTGAAAAGACGAAAAAAATAAAAAATGAATTTTTTAATAAACAACACATATATTAATTAATGTAATATTAAAATATGTCAATATACATGGTAATCAATTAAAAACACTTGTATCTTTAAATGAGTTCACAGTGAAAGAAGGATTTAATTAAGAGAAAATTTCAAGTTTAACCATTGTTTTTTCCAACTCTATTATTTATGTCATTCTAAATAATTAAATACCACTGTGGCCTTTTATTTTGTTCTTACTAATTGAATGCGACTTGTTTATTTTTTAATAAAGTGGCATAAATAATATTTTTTTACAATCTTAGGTAGTATTTTTAGTTTTTTCCCTTTAAATAACATATCAAATGGGAGGGGTAAAATAAAAAGCCTTCGATAAATCTGAGGGCATAACAAGTATGTTAACAAGTATGTTTCAAATTTTAGAGAGAAGTTAACACAAATAATGTAGGTCACCAAGAATTTACATTTTTTTTTAAAATACTAGTTGAGACCACGTGCGATGCACGTGAGGTAATTTTGTAGGTTTCATCCCTATATTAAATTTTAATTATTGTATTATTACTTACGTTTTTTAAATAATAGAGGTCTTAATTAGTTGCCGAATATCTTTTAAAATAATAAGGATTGTAAAAAAAATAATTAACTAAAGAGGCAAATAAAAAAGGAAGGAGACCTAAAACCAAATAAAAGGAAGAGAAACAAGAAAAACGAAAAACAAAAACATGCGTCTAAAATGATAAAATGAAGTAAGAATGAGAGGCAAAACAAAAATAAAGGACTAAAAAAGTAAGTAAATAAGGAAGCGGAACAAAAAAAAAAATGAAAGAAAGAGAAGCAAAAAAAAAAAAGAGCCGAGAAAAAAAGGGTATAAAAAGGACTAAAATGATAATAAAATAAAATAAAATATAAGAATTAAAATGATAATAAGATTAAATAAGTGTGAGAGAGAAAATAAAAATTAAAGATTAAAAGAGTAAATAAGAAAACAAAGGGACACAAAAACAAATAGAAAAAAAATAAAAAAAAAATTGACTTAGAATTAAAAAAAAAAAAAAGGACGAAACGTTCCGTCCCCATCCCCTCATATTAACCCTGATTCGAATCATGATTCGTGGTTCGCTACAGTATTTTCTCTCACAAAAAATACACGTAAATCGAAAATGATTCGAATCACATGATTTGAATCCTCCAACCAAACGTCCTCTAAACACCGAAATTGCAGAGAGCACCTTTTGACGCTAAATGCTATTTTACAACAAAGCCTCAAAACCAAAACAGCAAAGTTCTCCAACATGATTAGATAAACCATATCCAAGTCCGCCTCAGCTGACTATGTATGAAACACAAAATCACTCCAGACCCAAAAGGGTTGCTTTGTTAGAAAACATTGACGGAACTAATTAGATACAAGTAAAGATTTATTTTTTTTTTGAAATTAATTTCCAAGTTCCAATTTAGTAACCAAGTTCCAAGTTACAAACAAGAGAGTTTCAAACAATTGAAGGAGGTCAAACACAAATTTAGTAGAATTATCAACAACTCAAGGAGCAGAAAATGAAAATGATGAGAAAGTAGTTGATCAAGAAAGGAAATACCTCTAGGCGCAACTTGATAGCAAGGATCGCTCGCGAGGTCAACGGTACTTGCTTGGATGGTAACTAAATGAGAAATATGTAACGAAAAAGGCTCAGAATCTTTGATGGCTGTAGGGGCTGAGACCAGAGGATTAATGACAGGAAACTACAAAACCAAATTATTGTCAAATGCTTCTTAGTTGTGTGTTTTTGTCTATGCACCAGTCAGAAAAAAACTTTGTTTTTCTTTTGGATAGAAAAGCATTTTCTTTGCACGCAGAAAGTAAGAATCCGTCAGAAAAATTTAGAATATATATATATATATATATATATATATATGTGGGACGCATTTGAGTATCCACCTTGGACGAGGGATTCTATGGGGCGTTTTTCCGTACATTTAAGCTGTGAAATTTAAGAGTTGTTCTTTTGTAAAAAAATTCAGAAAAAATTTTAATTCGAGTTATAATTTTATTCAAGTTCATGTTCTTTTGTAAAATTTGAGTTTAAACTCGAGTTTGAACTTGAGTTTGAACTCGAGTTTTGGGCTAAACTCGAGTTTAAGTTTTCCCTTCAACTCGAGTTCAGAAACTCGAATTCAAGTTAATGAACAGTATTTTTTCTATTCTTAAAAAAATCATAATTTTTTCATTTTAATTCTGATTGAGATGATTTTTTTTCTATGCATTCACAACGAAAAGACGAATAAAATCCTACCCATATACCCTGTTAAAATTTTTCATCACTATTGAGTTTTTATTAAAATACTATCTAAATAGAAATTTAACTTTTGACCCACTCAAACATAAACTCAAAAATATTCTCAATTCAATTCATAACTCAAATGTGCACATCCAAACACAAACTCAAGTTACAATTTTAACTCAAGTTATAACTCAAACTCAACTCAAAATCATCACTTAAGTCACCGTAACTCAAAAATGTAAAAAAACAAATTTTTATAAAAGAAAATACTGTAGAGATTGAATTGTAATTCTAACTTTTCAAAAAGCATAATTTTTTTTTTTAATCCATGTATATGCCTGTGGCGGAGAGAAGAGAGAAGGGGTGCCCAAATGGTGTAATCCTCTGTAGTCTGTCCGGCGGCCAAGCTGTCGTGCAAGTGGGACTTTTTTTTTTTTTTTTTTGGATGAAGCCGTGGATGTGACTTTTTTAACACAAAATCGTGGAAACTGAATTGGTCTATTGTCTTCATGTTCCTTTGTCAACCTAAAATAATATATTTGAATAACAACTACTTATAATAAAAATTATTACATAAGAAAATCTAGAATCTCGCCCACAACATTGATTCCTTTTTTTCCATTCAAACAGAAGAAAAGAGCGTACAGTATTTCAAATGACGTTGAGTGTCACGAATTTATAAAATGTGAGTCTCGCAATATAGAACTCACATGTAGAATCTGTCCTCTATTAATTGGGATACTCTTAACCCTTTTTTCCATATATTATTATTTTTACTTTTTTTTTGGGAAAATTTATGCCACTGGTCTGCAAAGTAGTTTTTGACACTTGGATTTCTATTTTGAAAATTTTGGCATTTAGGTCCTAAAATTAGTCCCTCTTCTTTTATATTGGTATACCTCTTTTTTTTTAACCTTTTTTCACTATTTTTGCAGTTGGACCAGCAAATGGCATGTTATTATAAATAGATTGTCTCAAATGGTAAATGAAATTAAAATTTTGAATAATTGTGTACAAAATTTAGTGAATTTCGGTAGGTTTTTTTCTGAGGAATAATAATAAAATAGAAATTTAGTGAATAATTGTGTAATCCTCATTATCTTCTTTTTCTTGTTGTTTGTAGCGTTTCAGCAGGTTGATCTGTTACAGAAGTAAAGAAAGAAAGAAATAAAATTGAAAGAATAACACAAGGGATGAAATTTTTGTCTGCAATACACTTCCATTAAAAGTAAAAGAATAAGAACAACTAAGTCCACTACACCATTACTCCACGTCATTACGAAACACTAACCAACGGATAAAAGATAAACAATTATTATTATTATTATTATTATTATTATTATTATTATTATTTTGTTTTTTATAGAAAAGCATTTTCATTTTGAACCCATCATAAAATTAAATATACATCCCCACTACTCATATACAATGGGAGAGGAGAGGAAAGACATGGGTTGTCCAAACCGTGTTGACCTCTGCCCGGCGGGCATCAAGAAGGCCTCGGCGCACGGTGGTGGAAGTCGCGGAAGTGAATTTTTAACTAGAAATGTCGTGGAAGTGACTTGGCGTATTGTCTTTCTTGTTCGTTTGTCAACCTAAAATAATATATTGGAAGAATAGATAACTATAGGTACATATAATTAGTATACCTACAGTAAATAATTCATTTACGAAGAATATTTATTGTAAATTTACTGTGATTGTACTATTTACTATGAGTATTTTAATATATATTATTTACCAGAAATATTTTTAAGAAATGGCGTAAATGCTATAACGTCACTTTATTGGTCTGCTATAATTTCTTGTTTATTATGTTATTTCCTTCTAGTTTTTAACCAAATGGATTCTTTGGAAAAATAATAGGGATTTACAAAATATCCCGGACCTCACTAACCATGGTAACTGGTAAGTTTTTTATTATTATTTTTTTTCCCCTCAGCCAATATATCCTCCTTTTTTGGCCCATAAGGACTGACTGAAAGTACGGACCGTTATGACGCATTTTCTAATACGTAATTTGTAAATACGAATTAGTGTATTAGTGATACAAATTAATAATATAGTAATATACTAACAATGAATTAGCGTGTTACAATTTTTGATGAGGATATATATGTAATTAACTACAATATACGGAAATAGTGAGTATAGTTAATTAATGTAATAAATAAATAATAGTCAGAAATTGATTACGACTATTCTAATCAGTATGAATTAATAATTAAATAAAGGACAGTGTTTGCGAACTTATGCAGGGAATAGCATTCAAAAACTTTGACAATCTCGACGAATGAGGACAACCTAGTTAG